ACAACCATTTCCTACTTTTTCCTTTCTGGTAAAATAAATTTTCTCAAAGGAATTTATCGAGAAAAATCGATCGATATATCGATAACTATCGACGTTAAAATAAATTCATAATAATTTTTTTTTTTTTTAATTGTTAGTTGATGACGAGGAGAAAAAGAAAAAAAATTAAATTCGGTCGATTCATCAAAAAAAAAAAATTTTCCCGTTCAGGTGTGCGAACGCCTAAGTCATCGACCTTAGTTAAAATTCAATCGAAGCAAAAAAATTTTTTTTTTTTTTTTTTACACGTTCCGTTGAAAACGTTAACGCACGCATAACTGGAACGCATTAAAAAAATCTCTCGTTAATTGTTATTAATTTTTTTTCTCCAGAATTTTATCGATTCCAGAAATCAATCGCCATGAACGACGATAACGATCGAGATAGAGATCGATAGAAAAAATAATAATAATGATGATAATTATCGATTCGACATCAACAACAGCATTTCCTACCCGCAAACAAACAACAAACAAAAACCGGAAATGAATTTTTCGCTCAAACTGTCACGCCGAGAGAGAGCGCATGTAATAAAAACGACCAAAAGAAATAAATTTCTAATCAATTATTTATTTATCGATTCATCGATTCATCGATTTTTTGTTTAAAAACAGGAAACGTTAAAATTTTAATTCGATTTCGAAACGTTTTATGATAATAATTCAAAAAAAAAAAAAAAAAATTAAATCGATGAGCAATAATAATAATAAAAACACTTGACCAAATCATTTTTTTTTTTTGAAAATTGCAAACCTAATGAAAACGATAATGATAATAATAATTATTATTATTATTTCGCAATAATTCAGGTTTTTAACAAAAAAAAAATTTAAGACTCAGCATTTGCAATACACCCGCGCCGAAAATCATTTAAAAATTAAATCAATTAAAAAATAATTTTTTATTTAGTCAGTATTATCGACCGCCATTAAAGTCAAACCGAAAACAAAAAAATAAAAATGGTGAGTTTTTTTTTTTTTTTTTTTTTTTTGGAATTGATTGATTGATTGATTGATTTTTCGTCGACCGATTTGCAGAAAAAAAAAAAAAATACGTTGTTGGTACTCGCGGTTTTAATTTAATTTAAATTTTTTTTTTATCTAAATTATTGTAATTGTTTTTTTTTGGCCCCCGAAATCGAGGAAGAATTTTTTTTTTTTTACGTCGTCGTCGTCGTTATCATCATCATCATCATCATCATTTATAAAAAAAAAAAATTTTATTTTACTTTTTCATAACTCTTAATATATCCGAGCCAATTTTTTTTTTTTTTTTCTAAAAATTTAATTTTAAAATTAATACGCGAAACCAATTGAAAGATTTTCAACGAGAAAACGTTTTCAATTATTATTATTATTATTATTATTATTATTATTATTTACGCCCCCTCATAGCGAACCCTAAATTGTTAATTTAAAAAAAAAAAAAAATGACGAACGTTTTCCAATTTTAGAAGATCACAATTTTCGTATTTATGTGCATCGCGACCATCATATCATGTCAATACATGCCTCCCATGCCGATGTGGAACACAATGAATCCCGTTATGTATTCCTCGATGATGAGACCGATGATGTCTACATATCCGGGATGGATGTCAGGTTCGACCATGTGGAAACAAAATCCGATGATAAGATCCTCATCCTCCGATGGGATCGAATGAGAAAACTTCAATTTTAAACATCCCGCAAGGAGTCATGAACATTCCAAAAGTTCCCAGTTCCGAAGAAACGTTAACGCACATGATGATGGCGAATCAAAACGTCAAACCATACGTCGACACCATCACCGACATGATGTACAATTATCCAGACGTTCCAAAAGCGAGACTTATGAATCCTATGTACGTCACTGGAATGAACGGAATAAGAACGAATCCGAATCCCATGGAAGATTGTAAGTAAACTATAATACTTTTCTCATTTCCTTAATACAGTAATAGAAATATCTAGAAATTGATAATGATGATAAAAAGCTCGTTGATAACAAACACACCTCGCATTTATATTTTTCCAAAATTTTTCCAAAAAAAAAAAAAAAAAAAAAATTACATAAGAAAAATAAAAATTATGTAATAATAAAGTATAAAAAATTTACAAATAAGGAAACGAGTACGTGTTTTTTCTAGAAACTTTTTTTTTTTTTTCCAGGTACGCAAGACGGTATCAGGATAAATCGTGATATGTCCGATTGGGTTTATTAATTATTATTATTATTAATTTTATTTATTTATTAATTTATTTAATTTATTGATGAAAATAAAAAAATAAAATTATTATTTGCCTAAAAAAAATTTTTTTTCCCTACCAAAAGGTACCGAACCACCTTTGAAACCTTTTTAAAAAAAACCGCGAAAAATTTTTAACTCAAACGGAAATGAATCTTTTTTAAAAACCGGAAACGATTTCGAATTAACGAAATATTCTCGTTATGGGCCTGACGACTCTAGTGAATTGTCTGATGGCTCTGTTCCAGTTCACGTTGTTTTTCCTATTGCTGTTGTTGTTGTTTCCTCCTCTGTTATCTCCTCCTCCTCCGAACCAATTCCCTTGCAAAAAGTTCGATATGGCAGGATGATTGTCAATAAAATCGCTTAAAATACCACCGATGCCACCACCGCCGCCGCCTCCTCCTTCGTCATGTTGAACGGCGACCACGCAAGGTGGCGGATATTCGTTATAAATATTATTGTTGATGATTGCGTAGGGTTGTTCGGGGGATTGTGATTGAAATTTTTGTCCCAAATGATATCCGACAGCTGCTCCTCCCGCTGCTGCTAATAACGCAAGCCTGAACGTGAAATTAAATTTTATTAAAATTACGTCGAGTGCCTCGTTTTCTTTTGGATTTTCCCTAAACTTGGAAATGCAACTTTTTCTTTTTCTTTCTTAACGGTTACGTAATTTCCCAAACGACCTACTTTTACCCTATCCGAAGAGATTCTTTTGCCTAAACGTTATGACCCTAATACAACTTTCCAAACAAATAATTCCTGTCTGTACGATATCTTTTCTGTCGACGACAGCAGAAAAATTTTAAGAATTACGGTAATAAGTTTTAGTATACGCGAAAACTCGAAAATTTTATTTCTGTTAGTTGAATTATTATTATTATTATTATTTACTTTGAACTTCTCTCTTCTGTGACGTCGTCATAAACATTATTATTATTATTGTCGCTTGCATTATCGTCTACCGGGGTATCGTTGGGTACGTCATTTACGGCAGTGTCCCAATATCCTCCGCCCGAACATGGAGATGATGAGGATTCGTGATGTGGCCTTTGCAAATTTCCCGGTCTTCTCAACGGTCTCCTGTTGGGTCTTCTTCTAATCCCATTCCTTTGACAATGACACAAGCTAACGATTCCCAAAATGATAAATATCTGACAAACGAAATCATTTTTTTTTTTTCTTCAAAACTCGCATTTTCGAAAACAATGGCGGCGCCGAATTAAAAAAAATACACAAATAATAATAATAATAAAAAACTTACGAGGATCTTTAAATTCATGTTTAACCAACTATTTCAAAATTAACGGTCAAAAAATTAACAATCACACAACGAAAAAAATAATAATAATAAATGATTTTTTCTTTTTCTTTTTTTTTTTTTTGTGTGAAAAAGAAGAAAATCTTGTTTTACGTATATGGTTCGCGTTACGAAGCCCCGCCAAAAATCCATGTTAAAAAAAAACTCGGTTAAAGTTATGCAAAAAACAAAAAACAAAATCCGCCATTTTAAAAAATTTTTCTTTTTACATTTTCTAAAAAAGGTTCAGTATGTGTGATGACGTAGGGGGAAAAAAAAAAAAAAATTTTTTTTAAAGTCACCTGAGAATTAATAACGTGTAAAATTTACACCTGGAGTAATCAATCAATTAAACGTGGATTTAAAATTTTAATAATAATAATAATAATAATAATAATAATAAATATTTGTTTTTATCCCCCCTCCCCCCATTTTATTTTTGGCTCACCTGCCTCCTCAACATTTGCAAATGTTTTTCTTTTTTTTTTTTATTTACGTATGAGTAATTATTTTTATTTTTCTACGCGTAGGCGTAATATATCATGTAAAAAAAAAAAATCCACTTCGTCCCCTCCCCTTTCCCCCACCTCCCCCTCCGCTTTTCGCATTCAACGTTTCGAAAAGAAATTCAATTACCAGAAATCAATCAATCAATCAATCGTTAAAAATTTTTCACGAACGATTAAACGAAATTACCTATCGTCAAAAAGGGATTCAATCAAACCTTTTTAAATTTTTTTTCGCGGGGGGGCGGGGTGGGGGAAAGGTGAAAAGCAATAAATTACATAATAGTTTATTTTTAAAGTAAATCGTAATGAGGAAAGCAAAAAAAAACGACAGCGTTTGTGCGTGTGTGTGTGTGTGTGTGTGTGCAATTCCCGTTCCCGTTCCTGTTGCTGTTGCAACAAATTCAATTTAAAAAAAAAATTTTTTTTACATTTTATTTTAACGTCAGTAAGTTTTCGAAAACAACAGGAATCGGTGGTCAGAAGTTTTAGTTTTTTTTTTTTCTTCTCCTTTAGAGATTTTCACAATTTTCCGGTAAGGTGAACACACACAAAAAAAATTTAAATTTCGATTTTCTTTTTCTGTTTTCCGTTTTTCTTTTTTTTTTTTTTTTAAATTTATAATTAGAATGTTTAATTAAATAAAAAATTGGGTTACCTGTGATTAGAAAAAATCGTGCCAATTTTTTTTAATCACAGATATTATCATCAATATTGTTTAAACGCGATTCTTATAATAATTTTTTAAAAAAAATCTTTCTACTCTTTTGTCCTACTTTTCTTTTCCCCCCTCCCTCACTTTCTCCCCGTTCTAAATCCCCCGAAGAAAAAGAAAAAACGCGGGAAAAGAATCCACCATTTTAAACTCTATTGACACGTTTCGTTATTATATTGCGAAAAAATTAAAAAGGGGTACAAAGATGACGGATGGGGATGGAAAACAAAAGAAAAATACGGCGCAAACTTTTTCTATCCAACAAACAAACAAACACTCAAAATCATCATCATCATCACCATCATCATTATTATTTATTGTTATTATTTTTAGCAGAAAAAAAAAACACGAAGGGCGTCAATTCTAAAAATACGTGCAAATTTTTTTTTCTTTCTTTCCTTCTTTCTCTCCTTCTTATTTATTTATTACTTTTGACTCATTCACGGAATTTTAAATAATGAAAATTTTCTGATTTCGAATTATAACGAAAAAAATTATTATTATTATTATTATTATTATTGCCAGGGGCCCTTGAACTGATTTTGCCAGAGAGAGAAAAAATAGAAAAACAAAAAAAAAATTTTTTTTTGTTTTTTTTTTGCTTCCTCGAACGATCGATCGGTTTTAAAAAATCTTAATTTGTTTATTGAGAGAGACTAACGATTAATCGAATCGATCGATCGATCGATCGATATGTATCGATCATGTAAAAAAAATTTATTTTTTTTCTTCCATCTTCTTCTTCCTTTTCTTCTCATTATTGTTATTTTGTTTTTTTATTAATATAATTAAAATTTGTTTTTTTACCTTTTTTTTTGGTGTTTGTTCTCCAGCGAATGTGTTTTAAAATAACGAATCCTTTCCATGATGACTTTCTCCAGAAGAAAAAGAAGATTTTGCTGTAAAAAAAAAAAAATTTTTTTTTTTAAAAAACGATCAATAAATTTTTTTTTAATAATTATGGGAAGGGAGATTTGATAGAATACGTAAACAGTGGCTTTCGGCCAACAATACAACTCAAATTTTTTTCAAATTAATTTTTTTTTTTTTTTTTTTTTCAGAAAATCTAATATGGCCGCCAGCGTATTTGTTGTTAATAATAAAAATTTTAATGTTCCGATGAAATTATACACCAGTGAGAACACAATTGCGAACGCTCTCGACAAACAAACCCAAATCTTGGCGAACGGAGCTGTTGGGCAAGTTTTTTTATTTATTTATTTATTTTTTTGACACGGTTTTTTTTTTTATGTTTTTAAGTGAAATAATAATAATAATGATGATTTTTCTTACTACTTTTTGAATAATATGATTTAAATAATTTTTTAAAAAAAATTACTACCGTAGGTGTTGTTTTATAATTAGTGTATGTAAGAAGTGATTTGTTTTTGTTTTTTTGTTAATTTTTTGTGGATTTGTTTGTTGTTAACCGTTTGGAATAACAAAATCACATGGAACAATATACTTCTGTTTGTTTCATTTATATCAATGTTAAAAAAATTACTCAACAATCAGGTTTTAAATATTTATCAATAATCACACTAACTCTCCCTGATATTTTGCTTTAGTTGTAAGTTGTGACACTGACAGAAGGGATACCTACCCCCCATTTAAAACAAAACCCCTTTGAGGTGCTGATGTGTGTAACTTATATTTTAATAACCTAATCTCCCTCATACACATCAGTTTAAAAATTTGATCATAAATGGAAAATTGAAAACAAATTCAATTGAAAATGTCATATTGTTGTTAACTTCTTTATCAATAGATTATCTATTGTTTCATAACTTTTCTTTTTTTTTTGTTCATTTCATAATAAACTCTGAAATGTATGAATCTCCTGTTTTCTATAAATTAGTTTAGTTACAAAATTTGAAAATTACCTTTTCCTGACCAGCTAATGTTTTAACAATACATTATTAACCAATAGTAACATATTTTAGTGCAAAATGAATTTGTCACATGATGCAATAAGTCTCCAAATCTCTCATTTTTTTCTTTATAAGACAATGATGATTCCTGAAAGACAAAAAAACCAATTAGTTCAATGAGAAGACAAAAAAAAACAGAAAAAAACCATGTTATACTAAAAATAAATCATTAAAAATTGTTGGTATTTCTAATAATAATAATAATAATAATAATAATAAAATTAAACACACAGTGTTAGTCACCTAATATAAAATTGCATCATGTGTTCATTTTTAAACAATGTTAACAATGAATTATTCACGATTAATTTTATAGATAGACGTTTGTTTGTTTGTTTGTTTAAAAAAAAGAAATTTAATTGTTTCAAATGAATCAGTTAAGTTTTACATGGTTCTTCTTCCAAATGATTGATTGACTTTCAATGTGTTTGAAATGCATTGAAAAAATCTCAAACGTTTTATTGAAATTAATTGAAATTTTGAGATTATGAAATTATTTAATTGCAATTATAATAATTACAAACAATTAAGAAAGTGCAAGTCATTATGTAGAAGAAGCCATTATGAATTGAACAAGATGATGCAATAATCATAATTCAAGTCGAATGATTTATTTCCGATTCGAAAATAGTAATAATAATAGTAAAAACAGTTAGGTAATTTAATTATCGCAAAGTTTTAAATTCAAACTTTGATTTTATGATAAATTACAAGGAATGGTTGATGAAAAACTAAACTCATTCGAAACTGAATTGAGAACTATCATTCCGCCATTACCGAGTACTGTAATTAAAAACTCAAAAACGGATTTTTTATTAAAATTTATTCATTAATACTCACATTTCATGTAAACTAATATTGTTTTCTCGAAAAGTTTATTGAAAATGTTATTCTTCTCCCTTCCAACAAAAGAAAAACCAAATTTATTTCATTTTACAAAAAATTATACGAATCGACCGATCAACTACTTTACCCGCCATATTTAACAAGTTTTGACGCCGAGTAAAAATTTGAATTGGCGCAGGGTACGTTCAGAAATTGAAAAAGGAAAAATCCGTTAAATGATTTAATAGTAAGCTAACATACGATGGCGTTGTTTAAATAAGAATTACAAAAACATTTGAAATTATTATCAAAATTAAAAAAAAAGTGCGATAAAAAAAGTGTTTTAGTAAGCAAACTAAGTAAATTTTCTTTTTAGTTATGTCTATTCGGTGAAACCAGAGGAATCGCCCTTGAAAAATAAGTTTGAAATAATTCGAAAGCTGTTTTAATACAACAAGTGGTTAAGGAATAATTTGTAGTTTTTTTTTTTTTTTTTTTAATTTTTACACAATATTCGTTTGGTGTTTTGTGTTTTATTCGAAGGATTCATCCAAATGTTTATAATAAAAAACGTTCGAATGTATTTAATGCATGTTCGACTATGATTTTTATGTTTTTCTATCATGTTTACATTGTGTCAAAAAGCTTTACTTAAATTTATATATTATTAATTCATATAGACAAAAGTAAGTAAAAAACTAATTAATATTGTTAATATTTAATTTTCTTAAACTTGTTTCAAGGAGAAATCGTTGAGATGTATTCACAAACATGGATTATCATAATCACATAATTAAATTAATATATTTAAATTATGAAATTATTCGCAAGAGAAAAATAAAATAAATAAACATTTACTTACGTTACAAACGTAAACCTGAGAAATTTATATTAAACAATTAAAAAAAAGAAAAGTGAAAATTAAAAACGATTCTCAAGGTTATTAAATAAAAACAACTCTTTATTGTTACTTTAAGGGGGAAAAAATTGCTTTTTTTTCAAGATGGCGGTGTACGTGTGTGTGACGTATAAGCGTCCTTAGTATCATTTTGATTTCTAACCGGTTTTTTTTTTTTCGATGATGATGATGTTTATTCAATTTGCAAACAAAATAATAATAATATAAAACTGGATATCAATTTATTTCGGATTAATAAATCGGATACGGTAGGAGAAAATGGAAAAGTGGGGATTATTTAAAAGAAAATTATAATTTGTTTTTTTTTTCGATTCAGTTATTCTTTATCGCCATATTTAAAAACACTCAACGTAATTCGAACTCGACATTTTTTTTTTTTTTTTATTATTCGTTTGTTTTTTATTTTAAATAGAAAAAAAAAAAGAAGCAAAGTCGACAAAATGATGAAAACAATATCATTCGTAGAAAGACGGTAAGGATTTTTTTTTTTTTTTTTATATTATTCATTTTTAACGCTGATCGAGCATTTTTTCTTCAAAACGATATAACGCTATGCGAATACAAAACAAACATGGCGTCATCATCTCATAGTTTTTTTTTTTAATAAATCTTTTGTTGAAAATTAATAATAATAATAATAATATTAAATTACATTTATTTGATGTTTTACGAACCATCAACGTGTTGAAAAGAATCTTTTATTGGCATTTCGCCTTTAAATTATATGCGTAATTACGACGTTTAAAATATTTGAGAGAAAAAAAAAATAAAATAAAATCATCATCATTAGTATCGTAGCACTATCGACAATGAAAAAATTTGATGTTTTTTTTTTTTTTATTTTAAAATAATAAGAAAAAATTCAATTTGAAATCAATATAAAAGTCGAAAAAAAACCGTTAGAAATAATAATAATTAATGTATAAATGATTTACTATGGTTAACTTACGTACACACAAACACCCACATATTTGTTTTATAATTAAGAGAAGAAAACAAAATGGCGGATTTATAACGTTAAAATTTTTTCTATTTACAGAATCGATTTTCATAAATTAGATAGGCCAGGTCATTTAGCAAATTCTCAAGTATTAAAAATGTTAGAAGAAGAAGAAGAAATTGACGAATTTAAACACAAAGGTAATAATAATTTTTATTTATTTATTCAAATTTTCGCGAATCGATTTTTATAAACAAATAATAATAATAATAATTATCGATTTTTTCCAATAAATATTTTAAATATATCGATCTATCATCATCATCATCATCACATCGATCGATTTAAATTTAAATTTCTTATTTATTTCTAGAATTTTTTTTTTTTTTTCGAAATAAAGGTGAACGATTTGTTAAATTTTTTGACATATTTTAAAAGTTCCATAAGTTAAACATACGATACCGCCATTTTGTTTACGAACGTTCGAAACGTTCTAAATTTTAAATTTGAAAACCCGCGAAAATTTTCGAGAAAAGAAAAAAAAAAATCACACACGCGATGATTTTATTATTAACTTCTCGTGTCGATCGTCGATTAGGCCCCCTCCCACCCACTCCCCCCTGCCCCAAAGAAAAATTTAAACCAATTATCATTATTATTATCATCGTTTTTTTGAGTTTTCCGCATTTTTTTTGGCTTCTTTCCTTTAATTCATATCAAAGGATATTTAGGGATTCAAGTCTTTTCGGTTCCCAAATCGAAATTTAGGGAAAGTGGGGGGTTGGGTTAGGGAAAAGGTGACGGGGAGAGGGAGGGGGGATGACAAAGAGGGCCCAAAAGGAAAAATGCGATTTTTTTTTTTTTTTTTTTATTTATATGCATTTCGTAACCTCGTTTATAATAATAATAAAGGAACGACGACGACAAACGTCGATGATGATGATGATGATAATTGTCATTTGGCATTGATTTAAAAAAAGCAGAAAGAAAAATTTCATTATTATTATTATTATTATTATTATTATTATTATTATTATTATTATTATCGTATTCACGTAAATTGGCGCGCATGTTCGAAATAAAATTTTTTTTTTTTTTTTTTTTCAAATTTTTGCGAAGGAGTAAAAAAGAATTTTCCTGTCGTAACACCGTTTCACTTTTTTTTAAAAATTTATAAATAAAAACAAAGAAATAATTTTTTTAATATTATAAAAAAAAAAAGACGTGGAAGAAGAAAAGAAAAAAAAAAAAAAAAGTTAATGACGACGACGACGACGACAAACGACATTAAAAAAAAAGAAAAATTTTTTTTTTTTTTTTTTTTTTTTACAACAAAGGTCGAGTTTAATATTTAAAACCCACACTTATTTAAAAAAATTTTGTTTGTTTGTTTGTTCGTGACAAACAAACGCGGGAAATTAACCCTGAAAATCCAAAAAAAAAAAAAAAAATGTCGGATTTGCGCGGGGGCAAAACTTAAATAAATTCGAATTTTTTTTTAAAGAAAAAAATTTTTTTTCGTTAGTCAATTTCCTGATTTCAAACAATATATTATTTAAAATATTTTTTCGAGAAAGTTCTATTCGGTTACAAATAATAAATACAAAATTTAATCGGTAAGAAAAAAAAACCAATAATTATTATTATTATTATTAAATTAATTAATTAAATAAATTTTTTTATTAAAAAAAAAAATGGAAACGGAAACGAACGAAATTTTTTTTAAATTAAATTTTTCCGTGGAATTTGTTTGTTTGTTTCCGTTTGTTGTTTAAGTGATCATTTTCCAAAGGAGGGAAGAAAGGGGGGAGGGGGGAAGAAAACGATTTGTTATTGAGAAACCTAATTATTATTATTATTTTGATTGAGCGCCAAAAAAAATTTTGTTTCGTATGGGGGGCAACATAAAAAAATTTGTTTTTTTTTTTTTTTAAAAAGGTTTTAAAAGATTCGCTTGGCCTCCACCACCGGATGAAGTTGAAATAACGCCGGAAATAACAGAACAAGCTCCACCCAATTCACGTGGTCCTAAATATACCCATGCGAAAACGGTACCATCGACTCTAATCGAACCACAACCCCATCATCATCAACAACAAATTCCGACGCAATTTTGGGGTAACGAAACACAAAACGATCAGTTTAAACCTCAACAACCACAACAACAACAACAACAATCATCTCCTCTTCCAACACATAAAATTTACAAACCTGTAAATTTCGAACCGCCGAAAACAACAATTAAATTAAGAGCAACTCCACCGATACAACAGGTAAATGGTTTTCCATTTTATTACGTAACTTCCGGTTAGTGCAGACGATGATGATTGTTTTGATTGTTTTGTTTTGGTTTTCCAGGAGCCACCACCAATTTTCGATTCACAACCGGCTGTACTTATGGAACAAGGAGGTGCTAGAATGAGAGGTGATGAAAAATGGCCACCCGCGGATTACAAACAACAAGCGGAAGCGGAAAACGAAGCAAGAAAAGCATTGGCAAGAGGTCCGGCGTGCAGACCGAGAAGGGTTAATAAAGATTACTCTTCTTTTTTTGCTCAACACGCTCTCAACACGAGTTATCCATCGTATAGAGCACCGCCGGGTACTCAACATTATCTAGAAGATGGTACATCACAATTTTAAAACCCCCTTTTGCAGCCGCCCCTGCTCCATCTCCCCAACCAACCCCCCCGTTTATGTGTACGCCTCATCATCACTTCTTATCCTCATCCGCAAACGAGAAAGAGACTGAAAAAAATTTTTTATTACTTTTTTTTTTTAAATTTTTCTTCTGCTTTTCTTTTTCAGTTTCTTTTTCTTTTTCTTACAAAGCTTATTATAATTATCATTATTCTAACCAAAAATAAAAAAATTTTTTACATTTTTTTTCATTCGGCTGTACATTTTTATATATGTATATGTATTTTATTATTATTATTATTAATGTTTTTTTTTTTTTGGTTATTAAATAAAAACGTGTAAAAAGAATACAGAGAGAGAAAACAATTTTTTTTTCCCTTTCACACGTCATTTCACAATTACAAATAATAATAATAATGATAATAATAATAATGATAATTAGGAGAAAGAAAAAAAAAAGAAAAACAAAATTTATTACATGAGAAAAAAAAATTTATTTTATTTTATTTTATTTTAACCGAAAACAAATTTTTGCAATTAAATTAAATTTTAATTAATTTTATTCGATTTTTTCTTTTTTCTTCTTTTATTTTTTTTGTTTTTCTCTTCCGTTTCCGGTACAATTTTCTTTTCTTTTTTTTTTTTTTTTTTATTATAAATATATACACAAATCATTTATTCGTATCAATTAAAAAATTTTTTTTTCCTTTTTTTTTTTTTTTAAATATTTACAAAATTTCCATGACCAAAGAAAAAACAAAATTAATTAATTATTATTATTATTATTTACATGATTTAATTTGGATTCGTTTATAAGCTTTTTGGAATTTTTTTTTTTGGGGAGGCGGGAGGGGGAGGGGCAGGAACGGGGTGTTAACCCGAATCGCCCCACCCCCCCGGGAGAGTTTTTCACGTTCGCGTGTCCAAAATTTTTATTATAATCTCGCAAATAATCGAATCCATTACAATTATTATTATTATTATTATTAAATTTAAAAATGGTTCCTAAACCTTTAAAAAAAAAAAAAAATAAAAATAAAGAAAAAAAAGAAAAACAGAAGGAGCAAAAAATGATCGTGTCGGTTTCTTACGTTTATAAATTTTCACGTGTGGCGGCGCTATCGTCGTCGTCGTCGTCGTCGTGAAAGCTTCAGGACGTTTTTTCTTACCCATTTTTTTCCAACAACAACAACAACAACAACATCTTCCCACATGTTCAATAAATAATCAGGAGGAGGATGGGGGAGAGAGGGGAGGGAATAAACGGTCTTTTACAAGCGGTAAAAAAAAAAGGGAAAAAGGGGAGAGGAGAGAGAGATAGATAGATAAATGATGTGCCCCTCACAACGGCACACCTGTACGTTCCTGCGTGTGTGAAAAATTCACCGAAGTGAATTTTTTCCTTTCTTTCTTATACATAAAAAAAAAAAATTTTTCTAACCGAGATACTCACATGACGTCATGATTTGATGATGCAAATCGTATCCCGATCGATAATAATAATAATAATAATAATAAATAATACGTTCGGGTCTCGCATCAAATCACTTTTATTCCTCCGGATCCATTCCCATTTCCAAATAAAAATTCGTTTTATTCAACCGTCCATTTTAGCTCGACGATTGTCGTACTCCCACCGCTACCGCCACCGCATCCACCACGTAAGAAGGTTCGACCCCATCATTTTCATCATTTTTTGCTCCTTCCGTTAACTTCACATCATTTACAACATGAGAGAGAAATGTTGCTCAAACTGCGTTTTGCAGTTTGAGCAACTTACAATTACAACTCTCGACAATTTCAATAATAATAATAATAATAATAATTACAAACAAACCGTGTTGTTGTTCTTTTTCTTTTAAATTTTTTTTTTTACACAAAAACCGTTATTGATTAACAAAATTTAAAAAAAAAAAAAAAAAAAAAAAAAAAATAGTCTCGCGTTTAAGATGATGCATCTACGATGAATCTCTTCTCCGACGGTTGAAGACAAACGTTAAAAACGTTAAAAAGAGATGAAATCTTTTCAATCTTCTCCATCCGACTCCCTTTTTCCATGTAAATGACATGATACCCACGGTAGTAGAAACTACTAACATTTAACAAAAGCTTCCGGTGGAATGCTTCCCTTCGATTGAAGTTGCGTGAACGTCCATATGGCTCTGTCGAAATCCCAATTCGTTTCATCCAAGCACCTGAAAAAAAAGAAGAAAATTTATAAATAAAAACCAATGAATCGGGAATTCCTGTCGGTTGAAAAAAACATTTATTACTTTTTAGACCAAGCCACGTTCATTCCCGTTTTCGTGGCCAAAGTTTCGACCATTTGTAAACGGACTGTATCGTTTAATTCGACCGAACCCACGGCAGAAGTCAAATTGGCCACGGCTTGATCGATTTGACGATTCTGTGGAGGAGATTGAAGAACGCTCGTGTTTTGAGATTCTTCGATAAACGAACACTAAATGAACAAAAAAAAACAATATTAAAACCGCGAAAACGCCAACAGGGAAAAAAACAGCAGCAGACGATGTTTGTATGTACCCGAACTTGATCCTCCGTCGCGTTCGTTATGAAAAGCGTGTCGTTTATTATGCAAAAACCTTGTCCTACGGGAACGATTAAAAAAGCTCTGGAAAAATGCCTCACGGGCCATGATTTGACGGATGTCGAAGGACTCGGTTCTCTGAAGACTCCGCTCACGAATAAATTTATTAAAAGAGGCTGCAAGAGAGAGAAACAAACGGTTTTTGTTTGTTTGTTTGTTGTTTAAAACAGAGCCGTCGAACAAAAAGAAAACAAACCGTGAACAAAGACAAATCAACAGCAAAAGATGATAGATCGTGTTGACTCTTGGGCAACTTTGACAAATATTCAACAATGTTTCGCTTTCCCAATTGTAACCTTTCCTTTCTCCTTGGATAATCCGTCACTCTGAACAGATTCCTGTTATCCGCAGTGTATCGATTTAACCTGAAACAAAAAAAAAACAAATATTCAGTCATAAACCTGAGGAGGTTCAAAAACAGCCCGGTGAACATACTACTCACTACTCACCTGACAATGTTGCTTTTCTGATTGGGGGGATAAAACGAACACAATGAAAATGCTGATGTGTCGTGATAAGCTTGCGCCAAATCCAGTCTGTTGTCTGCAAAACGAAAAATTTAATGACGTCATACTCGTGTAAGAAATAATAACATAATAACGTCGTACCTGAATCGTAAATTGCAAAATATTGGGATAAGAAAGCTTTTACTATTCCTCTTCCGTCTGGATTGCAGATGAAAGCTGCTTGAGGTGTCGGCAGCTGGGTTATCAATTCGGCGGCGACATCAAACGAAATCACCGGAGGAAGTTCCATGCCATCCTGAAGGTATTTTCAATCAACGATTAAAAATCACAAAAGAATGCAAAAACAACAACAACAAACAAAATTAATAATAATAATAATAATAATAATAATAATAGTTATTGGAAAGAGAAATCTATTTTAATCGGAGAGAAACTTACCAGTTTTGTGAGTTTGGGAAACTTCTTCCGTATTTCACTGTGGAAAAGACCATCATAGTTATTTGTTTCATGAGTGTAGGTTGTTTTTTTATTATTTTTTGTTTGTTTTGTTTGTCTGTTTGTTTGTTTGTTTTTCTTACTTGCTCCCTCCACTGAAAATGACTTGCCAGAACGAAGTTATCAAATAACTTCAAAAACTTATTTCTCTGGGGCTCGAACACCAGAAAAACATAAGAAAACTCGAAATAATAATTATTTAACTAACCTCGAGGTAAGTAAGTAATAATAATAATAATAATAATAGTAATAATTAAAATTATGACGTAAATTCGAGTCCAAATAAATAATTATCCCGAAATTTATTTGAACTCGAATCGAATGAACAACATGTTTTTATAACACTTTAAAAAATAATGATTATTTTTTACAATCCGCCATTTTGAAAAAAATCTCTCGCGATGCATTCGAAATTGTTTAACTTTTCCCAAGAGATTTTTCCATTTCGAAAATGCAAAAAATAATTATTAATATACGCGTTCAAAATCTATTTATAAAAACATGTTGTTGTTTTTTTTTTTTTAAAATAAATTATTCGTTACATTAATGTTTTAATAAAACCGTTAAAAACCGTTATTGTAATGATTACCTACGTCACACCACTAACGTACCTGACATAATGAGTATTATCTTTGAAAAAACTTTTCAATGGATTTTTTCTTAATTCCAATTCCGTGACTTCTGATTCTTTGAAACAATTAAACGCACTAATGTTTTTGATCTGGAGAGGGGAAAGAGAAAAAATGGAAACGTAATTAAAGCATTCAAAAAAAAAAAAAATATCCTTTTATAGATTAGAGTAAATAAATTTATACATACTTTGTTATCTTCTAAATAAACAATTCTAAGATTTTTCAATTTTTTAATTTCAATCGATAGGGAATCATCGAATGTGACTAATTTGTTTGAACTTAAATTAATTGCTACAATGTCTGAAGTATATTCGCTAATTATTTGCCAAACAGCTCTCATTATTGGAGGTCTCGTCAATGGGCAAAAAGTACCATCTGCAAAACCTGAAACAATACAAATTTTCATTTTCATTTTATAATAAAACGACAAATTTATAAAATAATCATTATTATTATTATGTATGCATACTTGGATCGTTGGCAAATTTTGTTAAATCTAATGCTTTCGTTTCTGCAACATATCTTTTACTCATCACAGCTTTTATTCTAGATTTTATCGTTTCATCGACTGGAACTGATGAAGGTACTCCTTCTTTTACCCTAATTACTAACTGGAATAAAATCGATTTTAATTTTTTTTTAAAAATAAATCATTAGTCGAGATGTTCGAAACGATAAAATTTTCAATGCTTAAATATTTACCAAATGTCCATCTTCTAATAATATTTTCCTATTTGCATTTCTCAAAGTAACAGCTACTTCATAATTGTCAGTGTAGAAATAAAAATGATTTTCATTTGTAAAACTAAAGTAAAATTTAAATACATGCGGAGCAAGGTGCTTTAGTAAAAGTCTGTGCAAATCGTGTTCATTGTATTTTGCTCCATAAAATAACTGGAAGAAAGAAAAAAAAGATAAAATAAACAATATTTAATACAGATTAAAAAAAAAAAAAAAACATGATCATGACTTACTTTGACTAAGTACCAATCACTTAATGTTAATGGTGCATCTCTTCGAAAGTTAGGATTTCTCATGGTTGGAGATCCTGGGCGTCCTTTATATTGCTTTTTATTTTTTTTCCTGCTGCAAAAAACAATAATAAACATTACTTACATGATTTAATTTGTACAAAACATTACATATTTGACAAAACTTTCAACTAACTTGTTCCATTGCTTTCTTTCATTTCCTCCCATATTAACATCACCATCGTCTAACATGGCATTATTGGGAAATTTATGTCTATTTTTTTTCACTCTACCTCCAACACCATTCATAAAACTAACTTTTCGAATGTTAGAACTCCCACTAGCTCTGTCATCATGATCTATACAAATCAAAAACCAACAAATTAATGTGAATAAACACACGCTGGCAAATTAATTTGTATTAACAATATATAATATCATTATTAAGGTACTTAAATTTAAAAAAAACTTATAATTATTCTAGAATTCAATTATTTAAAACTAAACATTTAAATTTGAATGTATTTATTGTTTGGGTTTTGCATTAATACAAAAAAACATGGCCTGGTTAGGCATTTTTTTTACTTCCATACACAAGCGAATACAAAAAATAAAAATACAAACCGTAATATTTTTTATAAACGGCACGCGGCATTTTAATGCTTTCACGTTACAAGCTAAAAAAAAAAAAAAGAAAAAAAAACAAAAAAATTATTATTATTATTTTTTAAAAAAAAAAAAAAAAAAACTGTCACTAAGCAACTTTAAATTACAAAAAAAAATTCAATGCTCTTTCACGAAATTTCTTTCACGTTAATGACGTCATCGGAAGTTTTACTGCCACTTAACAAAGGAAAGTAAATGCCACTTAACAACCGGAAATGGAAAAATTCCCTCGTAAAAACTGTCGTCCATTTTTATTCAAGTTTTGGGTCAATTCACAGGTAATGAATACGTATTATATAAAATAATTATATTTTAATATAAAATCAATTTAATAAGTGTTTAAAATTATAACGTGTGCTCTTTTAATCGTTAAATTTAACATTTATTCGGGTTTTATAACGAATTATATATTAAAACAGTTCGAATTATATGTGCAACGATTGTGAAAGGTTAAATTTTTTTTCCTTTTGGTTTTTATTAATTAAAAATAGTTTATTAGTGTAACGATTAATTATTTTCGACGAGGATTTGAGTAATGTAATTAAAGTGATAAAGTGTTATCGATTAAATAAATAATAAGTAAGAGAATTGATGAAATTATAATTGAAAATACGTTAGGTAAGCTAAACATTATTATTTTAACATATGAAAATTTATATGGTGAAATAAAATATTGAAATTTATTTTTCAAAAAATGTCGATGATTAATAGTCTTATAGGTTAGATAGATATAATTTTAACGATTTGTATTTAATTTGGATGCATTAATAATAATAATAATTAGGGGTGAGTGTATGTGTGTGTGTGTGTGTATGTGTCGTTTATGATGTAAATTTTGAATTGTGCGTATAAAGACATATTGGAAATTAAATTAATATCAAATCAATCAACTAAAATCGTTGGTGAAAGTGAAAAAAAATAAAATAAAATAAAATAAAATAATAATAATATGAAGAAAAAATGATGGAGAATACAATTTTTGCGACAAATTTTAGTTTGGGATGGGGAATGCGCATTGGCCGGGGAGCAAGAAATCGGCCTGCGCAAAGAGTCGTCGCTTTATCCATTAGATCCGGGCGTATCGATTGTGAACCGTGATTCTCGCTCGCATATCGAGGTCGCGAATAGAAGAGTGCTAATGTTGACAAAATATGTGTGTGCTTTTTCGGTGAAATCAAAGCATGGGACGCAAATATGGAAGCGCCCCTCGGTAGTGATATGGCTGCGGAGTGTGTACAATGTTGCAATTGCGGTGATTCGACACCAACGGAAGAACCTCCGATCGCAGATGATTGTTTGAAAGTTCGAAAGTGGTGGTGTTTTCTATTATCTAGCATATTCACCTTTCTTGCCGGTTTGTTAATCGTTTTACTATGGAGAGCCTTTGCTTTTTTATGCTGTCGGAAAGAACCCGAACTCGCACCCAACGATCCAAAACAAAAAGAACAGAAAGCCCAACGCGGGAAACAAGAATTCGAAGGTACTTTTATGACGGAAGCCAAAGATTGGGCTGGAGAATTAATATCTGGACAAACGACCACTGGAAGAATTTTGGTAAGTCAAATTTTAAATATATATATATATCTCACCATCGTGACATAATGTCGTCGATTTTTTTTTGTACCACATCTTTTGCGCGACTCACGTTTTCCAAGCAGAAGAAAGAACGAAGTAGAGAATATTCTAGACCTTTGACAATATTTCATTTTTTTTTTCAATTTCATACGTTAATAATAATAATAATCGTTTTTACCCAATAATAATATTAATAATGGGGGGTAAAAAAAAGTTTTTAAAACACAAAATTAGAGGCAAAAAGAAAAAATCTTGGCGCCATTATTGATTACCTTTTTTTTTACATGAAAATTTATAAATAATTTTTTTACTTTTTTACTCTTTTTTTTTTTTTATAAAAATTTTTTTTTGCCAAAATTATTTTCTTACACGAAATCCTACTAATAACGTATAAAGATCTATAGATCCTATTTTTGTGTGTAAAATTATAATCGTCGTACCTTTAACTTATCGGATTCGTGTCTGATTCCACGATAAACGACGATATAATTATTTATATATAGAATAAAAACGTTTTTACATCATAACGAATAAAAAAAAATTAAAAATCAATTTTTTTTTTTAAACAAAAAATAAATAAAAATTTATTCGGGTTAAAATATATATGAAACGCAGACACTCACGCACGTACGCACGCACGCACGCATGCACGCACACACACTTACGAACTCACATACATTATGTGATTCTGTGGCACGTTGCCCATAATATTGCGGTGACTTTTTTTTTTTTTTTTTTTTTTTTTAATTTTATTTAAATTTTAATTGGCAAATTTTATTTAATGCAAAACAAAAATTTTAATAATAATAATAATAATAATAATTTAAATTTTCAATGACTAAAAAAAAAAAAAAAATGGAGGGAAATTCAAAAATAATTTTTTTTTTTTCCTTATTTAATATCCTAATGTAAGTGAAATTGCATAAACAGGTAAATGTAAGGCGTAATTAAATTTCTATCAAACCTTTCAACAGCGATGATGATAATAATACTAAAAAAAAATTTTAAAGGTTTTCATTATCATTATCATCATCATCATCATCATCATCATCATCATCATCATCATCATCATTATTACGATCGTAGTTTTTGAGAAAAAAAAAAAAAAAATTAAAAATTTTATTACACACACACACACGCGCGCGCGTATAAAATTCCGATGCGTGCCAATTATTACAAATTATTATTATTATTATTATTATTATTATTATTATTATTATTATTTCATCGTCGTCGTTTTAATTTTTTTTTAATAAACATAATTTATTAATTAATTTTTTTTTCACTTTTTAAAATCAAAATTAGTATTTAATTAAATTTTGTAACATAATTCGATTTTCGTTTGTTTTGTATTTTAACACGGGTAGCCATTTTGAAAATTTTATGAATGCTTAAATAATAGTAATAATAATAATTATTAAATGGGCAATAAATCGAATTTGTTTAAACAATTGTGGCAATCGTTTGTATCGAATGGGTTGTTTATTACGGTTAAATAAAACGTGGGTAATAAATTTTTTTTTGGATTAGGTACCTGAGTATTTAAAAAACGTTAAGTTTAGTAAAAGGAATAGGAAAAAACTTCTAGAATTTTCACACTTGTTATGATTATTGTTATGTATAGTTTAAGCTTAACACTTTTCCTCTTAGTTATGAATGTGCTGATTGCTTTTTATTACCCTAATCTTTGGTTATTTGGTTTGTACTCTTTGAATCTGAATGTAATCTGGAAAATATCAACTGCAATCTGTAAGAGAGCAAAATGAAAAGATGGTAAAGACAAAAAACCAGAAGACAGCAACTTAAAGAGGATGTGATTTTTATTCCTCCTAATCCTGGTTACTCCAACACAGATGTTGTTGTCACCGGAGCCTTTTTTTTGGGAGGTAACATGTTTCTGGAAGACACAGGAAGATAGTCTTACAAGAATTAACATATTATTCGTTTCTACAAAAATTTAGTTTAGATTTTGGATAAAATGAAAGATTCCTACAAGGACATAACTGGCCCTAATCTATGGAAAGTGAACCGTGCACAGTTCTGTATGATCAACAAATCCACACTGTCAGAACTGTGCCAGCTAACAAACCAGGTATCATAGTGCGACATAATGCTGAAAGGTGGCGTAAGCTAATTGTATTGATGGATATAACACCAGACAGCTAAAGAAGCGGACAAAAGGTTGTAGTACAGAAATTTGGAAATAGAAGTAACTAGGATGTGGGAAGTAAAGACAGGAACTATTCCGGTCATCGTGGGAGCAGCGTTGGGAGCCATGCCACACATTCAATAAAAGGAAATTTAAAGAAGATTTTGAAGAACCTAAAAGAAGAAGAAACCATCCAGGAAATTGCACTATGTGGGACACATTCTTCGGAAAATTTTATAGATAGCACCAACAAAATTCGAGGATTTATCCCTAAGGAATAGTCAGGTAAAAACCTGGAAGAAACGTTAAAAAACTCCAACAAATACTTAAAAGCTCATCGTATTCGAAAGTGAAAATAATAATAAATTTCCAAAAATTGTAAAATGAAATCACAAGTGAAAACGATTTTCCACGGCACACAAACGAAGAAAAAATTTAATTTATAATTTTTTTGCTGCGGTTTAATGCATCTCATCTTAAAGCCTCCAACTCGCACAACCACACCACTTACTACCGCTTCAGTAGCAAGAAAAAAAAAAAAAGGAAATTTTTAATAATTTCCAGGAAAAAAATTATAATTTAACAAAAGTTCGCCATTACGCGAAAGTAAAAATAACCTCAAATAGTTAAAACTTTATAAACTTTTAGATTTATTCTAGAAAGTATTAGAAAGTTAAATGGAAAAAAAAAAAATGGAACATTGTGGATTATTTCATCGGGTAAAAATCTTTTGTTTTTTTTTTTTTTTTTTAAAACTTTTTACATTAATTTTAATACGGCTCAATTAGTAAGAAAGAAAGAAGGAAAATTTTAACGTCCATTTTAATATTTTACTAATATTAATCTTTGATTTGAAAATTTGAGTCGGTAAATGAATTTGTGAGGAGGAGGGGAAGGGGAAGGGAAGGGGGAAACACGGAAAAGTCGAGTTCTGTTCGTTTATTTTTAAACGAAAAAAAAAAAAGAAATTAGAAAATCCTATCTGTAATCTTTACCGGAGACAAATCTCAAATAAAAGCCTTAAAGAACACAAAGATTTAGAAAATTGAGAAATTGAAGCTTTTCCCTCTCCCTCCCTCTCTTTTCCTCCCTTTCCCTCCCCCACCCCCTTTCTTCCTCCTTCGTTAAAAAACAAAATGAAAATCGGTTTGCAACAAAAAAAAAAAAACTGGGACGCAAAGCACTTTTTTTTCCCCCCATTTTGTTTTCGTTAGTGAGATAGAGAGAGAGAAAGAAAATTTTGGTTTTTGTTTTCCGTTTGGGAAAATTTCGTTACCGTTTTTCTAGAAATTAAAATTTTTAATTAAAATTTTGAATGTAAAATTTGATTGCCCACTAAAATTTTTGTTAGGTAATTTACTCGACGTACAAACAAACACGTTCTCAACACGATTGTAAATTTCCATTAAAAAACAAACACGAAGAATTTTCTTTTTCTTTTTAACGTTTTCCATTTTGGGGAAAGGAGGGGGCGAAATTTTGAAAAAAGGTCTTACAGTGATAAAATTTTAATTTTCTTTTTAAAAAAAAATTTATTTTAAATTAAATTTTTCTCGTAAACAATGACGATAATGATGAAATAACCACCATCACCACCATCACCGCCATATTAATTACCCCCATAATAGTTTTCGTGGAATTAAACAAATAAAAACTTTACGCGAAATTATACGTGTGTAAAAAGTTAAACTTTTCATAGATTTTTTTTTTTTTTTTTAATTAATTTCTAGTACTTTCTCATCATTCTTTTATTATCTTTTATCATTTTTTACTTTTCTGTGGGTTCTGACGTTAAAAATAGAAGAATTAATTAATTCAATTGCCATTTATTTTTTTTAAATGTAAAATGAAAATGTTGAGGGTCGCAAAACATTTTAGAGTCGTTTTCAAACAACACAAAATAAATTTTTCCCATTAAATCATCATCATCATCATCGATATTAATACCATTACAATCACCATCGCCAACAGTACCACCACCACCACCATCACCATCACTACCACCATTCCCACTATTACTATTAACTCCATTTATTTTAATTTACCATCGCCAACACTATCACCTTTAACACCACCATTGCCAATACAATCACCATTACTACCACCATCGCCAACACTACCATCACCAACAGTACCACCACCACCAACACTACCACCATTACCACCACCGTCATCATCACTATCACTACCACCATTACCATTAACGCCATTTATTTTAATTTACAATCGCCAACACTATCACCTTTAACACCACCATTGCCAACACAACCATCTCCAACACTACCATCATCATGAATACTAATACCATTACAATCACCATCACCAACAGTACCACCATTACCATCATCACCACCACCACCACCACTAACTTCTTTACTTTTCTATCCTTTTCTTCTACATTTTTTTTGACATATCGATAAAAATAATTATCAATATTAATTACAAATTGAATTATTGACTTTTTTAATAGTTTTTTTTTTGTAATTTTTCATGTAACTCTCACAGATTTATCATATAATGATTTTTCAAAATCCTTTAAATCAAAATTTTCTTTTTTTCTTTTTTCTTATTCTATTTCTTTCTTTCTTTTTTTCCTTTCTATTGATTAATGATGATAACAAATGAATCTGTTCATTCATCAATTTCATTAATTTCATTTAAAAAAAAAAAAAAAAAAATCAAAATTGTTACAAGTGAAATCTTCAATTGATTTAAAAAAAAAGAAAGTTATTATTAATTAATTAATTTTTTTCAAAAAAAAAAAAAAAAAGAATTGAAGGCAATCAAAAGCTTTTTATTCGCATAATTCAATTTAATTATATCAATGGAAAAAATTTTGATTTTTTTATAAAATCAATATAAAAAAAAAAAATTTTAAAGAATAGTAAAAAGAATTTTTTTTTTTTTTTTAAAAAAAGTTTTTGTAAAAACTAATGAATAGAAAAAAAAGAAATTTGACTATTATACTCTCTATATAAATTGTTTTTGATTGGTTCTTTTAAATAACAATAGATATTGATAATAATCGATAATAAAATTTTATTATTATTATTGATTTTAAACTTTATAAATAAAATTTAAAAAAAAAAAAAAAAAAAATATATTATCATGGCGTTAAAAATAAAATTAATAAAAATGTTTTTAAAACCTTTAAGAAGATTTATTATTATTAATATAAAAAAAAAGAAGAAAGAAAAGGAAATAAGAAGATTTTAATTTAAATTCAAAACGAATATTTAATAATAAAATGAATTATAACGGTAATAAAAAAAAGTGAAAGTTTTTGCATGTTGTTAACACGTAACGTAATGTATTCGTCTTTTTGCGATTTTGCGACAATTTTCCCCTTAACGCGCCATTAATTGTTTATATTAATTACGTAATTGTTCACGTCTTAAATTTTACCGACAGAGCGCGCGTAGGACAGGAGGAGAAGGAGGAAGCGGGGAGGAGGGAAATCATAATTTTTTCTAGACGTGCAAAAGGGAGAAATCACAGAGCAAAAGTCAGTCGAAAAAGGTTCATTGTTTTATGTTAATTTAGTAAATGAGTTTTTTCTTTTTTTTTTGTTTTAACTTTATACATCCGAAAATGAAATAATATTTAAAAGAAATTTAGTTTTTATTATAAATTAAATAAATAAATTTACGGTAGTACAAAAAAGCTTTGGATTCGTGCCTAAAATATATAAATGACAAGTGTGTAAGTGTGCACCCGTGACCTCATTATGAAAGCTTCCAAACATATATTTATATAAGTATAAATTATATTTATTATGGCATAATCCCCAACGGTTAAAATTTTTTTTTTTAAAAAGAGCTATCTATCTGAGAATGCATATCATATTTACCAAGTGATAATAAAATTGTCATAGTCGACAAAAAAAAAAAAAAATAAAATTTATGGTACGTTAATAAATGTATTGTAATGGTAGCCATAATGAATTTGATACGATTTTCTCTATTGTCATTCGATAATAAATTTTATTCGTTTTGTTAAATATATTCGAATTAAAATATGAAAAATAAAAAAAGGAATAATTAACGCATTCTTTTTTATTAATTTCAGGTGGTTTTGGTCTTTATATTAAGCATAGCATCACTCATAATATACTTCATTGACGCATCCAGGTAATCTCATTTTTTTTAAAATTCAAAATGGCGGAACGCGAATCGAACGTTCGACCGTTGATTTCAAACAGAAAATTTTTTTTTTTGTTAAAACGTGGTAAAAATATCGTTTTGAATGAATAAATTAACCTTTTATGTATTATTTATCGAAAAAATAAACGATTCGTATGGAACTTTCTGGAATTTTATCGGTTTTTTTTTATCTGTTTTAGCGAGGAAGTGGAACGGTGTCAGACATGGAGCGACAATATAACACAGCAAATAGATTTAGCATTCAATATATTTTTTATGGTGTACTTTTTTATAAGAGTAAGCAAATTATTTATTAATAATTATATTATTATTATGTTAATTAATTAATTAATTAATAATAATTAGTCATTCTACGTAAATAACAACTACTAACATGACAAAAAAAGTTTATAAAACTAAAATTTTTGTTTTTGTATGGTAAAGAACAAACGCCATTATTGTGGGGGAAAAAAAATAATTTTTTTAAAAATTTAATTTAAAAAAATTTTTCATAAATAATATAAAGTTTTATATATATATATAAGAATTTGTTTTTCTGTCGCGTCATTATAAAAAAAGAAATATATATATATTTTTATTTTTATTATTTTTGGGTGACTTTTTTATAAAAACTTTGATGGTTTTTTTGTCTGACAAAGAAAATTTATAAAAACATTCAAATGGCGACATGAAAGAAATAATAGTTTTATTTTCATTCAAAAATGTATTGTAATAGTAGAAAGAAAGAATACTTTTATGTAAAGTAATTTTTATTCCTTTATGTAAATAATAATAATAATAATGATTTAAAATTTGTTTTTGTTTGTTTGTTATAGTTTATAGCAGCGAGCGATAAATTGTGGTTCATGTTGGAAATGTATTCCTTCGTCGATTATTTCACAATTCCTCCATCATTTGTATCTATATACCTTGATCGAACTTGGATCGGTAAGTTTAAAACATTCATCATTCATTCACATCATTCGGATCGTTCCTTCCTCCGTGAAAAAAGGAAAGTTTTTTATTTTTTACACGGGAAAGGGATGGGGAGGGTACGGGGAAGGAAGGAAGGAAGGAAGGAAGGAATGGGAGGAAGGAGGATGAAACATGGCAAGGTTGTGTAAGAATTTCCTTTATTGTTTAGGTCTTCGATTTCTTCGAGCTTTACGACTGATGACCGTACCGGATATCCTTCAATATCTTAACATACTTAAAACATCAAGTTCGATTAGGCTCGCTCAGCTCGTTTCAATTTTCATTAGTGTTTGGTTGACAGCAGCCGGTATAATTCATCTGGTAAGTTGTTGGCTATACACTAAGTTGAGATCGTGGCTGATTTTGTCGAGCTTTTTTTTTTTCTCACACACACACATACACTCTCTCTCTCTCTCTCTCTCTCTCTCACTCTCTCTCGCTGTCACACACCAGAAGATTTCTTCAATTAAAAATTATTATTATTATTATTATTATCAATAATTTTTTTTTCATTTAAAATTATTATATTATAGAAATGGTGAGATTTTTTTTTTTTTTTTATCCAATTTTCGAAAAGAAAAAAACGTGAACTTTAAGTTTTGAGCTTGCGTGCGTGTGTGAGTGTGCGTGACTGTGCGTGAGTGTGCGTGTGCGTGTGGCATTCATTATTGAATAAAATAAATTTTTATTTGTGTTGTCGGTCGGCCTTTGGCAAAGACACATTTGAAAATGAAAAAAAAAAAAAAAAAAAAAAAAAAATGGGCAAACGTTTGTTTTTTACAATTCATTCACCGTGAAGAACAAACACACACACACACACACACACTTGAATCTTTAAAAAATTCCCCCCCCCCCTAGAAATATACATCATGTATCGAAAAATAATTTCGAGAATCGTTATGTCAAAACAATCGATAAATCGATTTAAAGGAAATGAATATTTAAAAAAAAAAAAAAATCTCACCATTTTACTATTTCCAAAGAAAATTTTAAATGAAAAAAAAAAAAAAAAAAAAATTATTATTATTATTATTAGTAGTAATTTTTTTTATTTGAAGAAATCTCTCAACAAACAAACAAACAAACGAAATTGTTAATAATCCTAAAATATATCCCATCACACGTTCACGTACACGTTCAGTAAATTTTCCACGTCATCATTCATTCATTCATTCATTTTTTTATTTATTTATTAATTTTTTATATTAATATTTTAATAATTATTATTATTATTATTACGACGTTTTTTATGTTGATCGTTTTTTTTTCTTTCTTTCTCTTTCTCTTTCTCTCTCTCTCTCTCTTTCTCTCTCTCTTTTTCATTTAGTTGGAAAATTCTGGAGATCCGCTAGAATTTAGTAATCCTCAACAGTTATCATATTGGACATGCGTTTATTTTCTCATCGTCACCATGTCTACGGTGGGTTATGGTGACGTTTTCTGTCAGACAATCTTGGGAAGGACTTTTCTTGTTTTTTTTCTATTAGTTGGATTGGTAAGTTTCTCATTTATTTATTTATTTATTTTAATTACTATTACATATATTAAAAAAAAAATTATTCGCCATTGAAATAATTACTATAAGTTCTATTTGATTGACGTCATTCTCTCTTTTTCTTATCACTTCCCAATTTCATTTTTTCTTATTTAATTTTTTTTTTTTTTAATAAGGCAACGAATATCGTTCAAATTATTTATTTATTTATTACCAAAACATTCAGTCAGTCAGTCGGTCAGTCAGTGAATTAGATAGTTAGACAAACTTTTCACACCCAAAATTTAATAATAATAATAATAACAGAAAAGAATCAAAGTTTTCGCTGCCGTTAATATTTTTTTTTTTTTTTTTTTAAATGATTATTATAATATACACATTACATGGAATTTGATCGATGGTAGATGTCAAAACCCATGCGGTCATATTATTAATAATAATAATAATAATATTAAATATAATAAGAAAAAAAAATTGATTTTTTTTTTTTTTTTTACCAATTAGGATATACATTATGTACACGTGCATATCATATAAACATATACACAAACGTTACTCAGATTTTCTTTTACATAACAAAATCAATTTTTTTTTTTTACTATTATTATTATTATCACATTCGTTTTTCGTAGATTAATAATAATAATAATAATAATAATAATAATAATAATAATATTTCACGTTGGTAATAATATTTAAAAGAGTTTTTTTTTCGATTGAATAATTAATTTAATTTTTTATTATTATTAACGATTGCGTGATGATTGCGTAAAATGCTAACAAAGGAATAATTTTAATACGAATTATTATTATTATTATTATCATTATTATTATTATTATTATTATTATTATTATTATTATTATCATTATTATTATCATTATTGTTTTACAGGGATATCGAAACGTATATGATTTTTTTTTTGAAATGTATTTACATGCTTTCTGAATTCACTTTTTTCCGCGTTATGTGAACCGAAAAGAAAATTTTTTTTTTTTTTTTTACCGCGGGGGGAAGAAGGGGGGTAAAGGGAGGGGGAGGAGGGGAGGAAGGGGACACGAGCGTGTATTTAAATAATTTTTCATTTTGAAAATTTAATAAAAAAAAAATTGTTTTAACCTTAAACCTTGACTGACAGGAACGCGATGATAGAAAAAAACTAAAAAAACTAAAAAAGTTTTCGTGACGGTTCGATTTTTTTAAATAGGAAAATGTCGTGACGTAAATTTTCTTTCCTTTTCTTTTCTTTTCTTTTTCTTTTTCTTTCCTTAAAGAAAAATCTATAAATAATATATTTATATATATATAAATATATAAATTTCGCATTTATTAAAAAGTTTCTATCCTGTCGTGTTAAAGGATATTGGCTATATATTTAACTCTGCTGGAGTTTCGAATTGAATTTTCTCTCTCCCTCTCTCTCTCTCTCTCTCTCTCTCTATTTTGACGTTTAACGAAAGGATAATAAAGAAAGGGAAAAAAATTACGGTCCCCTCTCTCTCTCTTCTTCTTTTTCCTCTCTCTCACTCTATAAAACTTTCATTATTTTTCGTACGCATATATTTTACGTAGAAAGAAAGAAGAGAGTGGGAGTGGGAGAGAGAGAGAGAGAGAGAAATGAAAAAAAAAAAAAAAGCAAACGTATAATTAAAACCTTTTAAAATATCATTTACCATATTATTATTATTATTATTATTTTTGTTTACGTCAATCGTAGAGAGATTTTTATTAAAACTGGAATCGAATCTCTTGATCATTTTTTTTTTTTTTAAATAATTACTCAACCGAATCGTTTGTCGGAAAAGTTTGTTTTTAGGCCGGATAATAACATCATTATTATTATTATCGATATTTTTGTCGAAACCGAAAAAAATTTTTTTTATAGGCAATGTTTGCGAGTAGTATTCCAGAAATAATTGATCTCGTTGGAACTAGATCTAAATACGGTGGAGAATTCAAAAGGGAACATGGAAAAAGGTACATGTGTATGTATGCACGTCATCGTGTGTGTCGTCATCGTCGTTGCCAACTTTTGTAAAAAAAAAAAATTCAATTCAAATCGTTTTTTACTCTATGCTTTTGCCTAAAAATGTTACTCTTGAAAAAATTTTCTTCGTGAGCGAGGCTTATGCGATTTGAGGAAAATGCGGAAAATTTTTAAAAAATTTTCACTGAGCTTTTGTTTGTTTGTTCGTTTGTTTGTTTGTTTGTCTTTCTTCTCCGCGTTTAAATTACTCGTTTGTCTTCTGTTTGCGTCTCGTGTATGATTTTTTTCATACGTCAGTGATTTCAACAAATGCGATTATCATTAAAACATATTTTCATATCTTCGTGACGTATTGTTATCGATAAGAACCTGGAAAATCTCGCGAGGCGAGATAATAACGATTCCAGACAGATGATTTTAATAATAATAATATTGTCGCGTATATAAAAAAAAATTCTTTTTTTTTTTTAAATTAATTTTATGAGAGAGAGAACAAACGGGTTAGTGACGTAAATACCGATAGAAATTCCGTTTGTCGTAAAAAAGGAAATTTTTTTTTTTTTAATAAAACGATCGATTCGCTTTAAATTTCGTCTGCTGCTACGTTTAATAACAACGAACAAGGAATTATTCATATTATTAAAAAAAAAAAAAAAAAAGGAAAAAAAAAAGAAAAGTTTTAATTGAAAAATGTCCGTTTTATAAAAGGAAATTTTCTTTTCTTTTTTTTTTTTTCTAAAAGTTTTTGACAGCGACAGAAAAATGGGTGAGGATCACGATGTCGTCGTCGTCGTCTGTTGTGATTTAAAATCGTTTAATTTTATGTTTTCGACGTAAACAAACAACAAATTTAAGGAAACTTAATTTTGTTTGTGTTTCCTTCTGTTTCCCTCCCCGTCTCTCTCTTTCTCTTTCTACTCCTCCCCTTATTTTTCCAGTTTTCGTTTGTTGATAGACACTAGAGGGAGTCTTGAAACTTTTCATATATATATATATTCGTTTTCCTTTCATTGTCTCTCTCTCTCTCTTTCTCCCCACACTGTCTCTCTCTCTCTCTCTTAGTTTTTCCAGGAGTCAATATTTGACTTAGTTTTTATTTATTTATTTATTTATGTATTTCATTTGCGCCATTAAATTTTACGTTTTTAAAAAAAAAAAAAAAAAAAAAGTTTTACGTCACGATTTATTATTATCATTATTATTATTTTTTTGTTTGTGTTTTGTCACGTGATTAAAAAAAAAAAATACGTTTTGTAAATGTGAATTCAGAAAGTTTATATTTGTTTCATTTTTTGTTGATAATTATTAATGTTAATTTTAATTGTTTTCAGCCTTAAAACAAACAACTTTTTTTTTAAATTACACCTAAAACAAAAAATCATTATTATTATTATTATTTATTTGTTTTAAAGGTGTCGTTGTTATGTTTTAAATAATAATAATAATAATAATAATAATAATAATAATAGTACGTTTTGTCGATGGTTTAAAAAATTAAATGACGACAACAAAAAGGGGGGGAAATTTTTTTTTTTTTGTTAATAACAATTTTTTATTTTTTCTTCTCCTCTTCGCCCCCCGTTTTATGTTTGTTTTTAAAAATCGTTAGTCGGAATTACGTTTGTTGTTTGTTCGTTTGTTCGTTTGTTTTATTTATTTAGTTTTTCCATACGGATATTATGTAAAAAAAAAAAAAAAGTTCGAATGTAGACATAAAATCTCTTAACCTTTTTCTTTTTTCTTTTTTCTTTTACTTTTCTTTCCCCCCCTCCCCTCCCCCGTTACGTACGTATCATCATCGATTTGAAAATGTTGTTGTTTTCTTTAGGTCCGACATTGTTCAAATATTTGTCGTTTTGACGAGATTATACGGGAATTTTGATGGTGATGGTGGTGGTGATGATGATGATGATTCGGTGGCTTGGCTTCTTTTTTTTCTCTCATTTGATAGCGAGAAAAGAATTTTTTTTTTTTCCCCAGCATATCGGCAAGCAGGCGGGGGGAGGGGGTGGGGTGAGGGAGGAAATGAAAGGAGATAAAAAATTTAAAATCGAAATTAAAAAATCGTTTCGAACGTTCTAGAAACCCAATTCGACTTTTTGATAGGAGTTAAATAACACCATCGACACCATTTTTTTTTTTTTTTTTTATTCCCATTCTTGCACCGGAAGTTCATTCATAATTTTTTTTTACAGGTTAAATTTATTTAAAAATTTTTTTTTTTTTTGTTCGATTTAAATTTAAATTTAACCGACGGAATTAATTATTATTATTATTATTATTATTATTATTATT